ATGCAGGAAGAGAGGGAGGCTTCATGTGTAAGTAACCATGTCTTCCTGTTTGTCTGAACTGATTTATTTATTTATTATTTATTTTTTAGGATTTTCAATGCAGGAAGAGAGGGAGGCTTCATGTGTAAGTAACCATGTCTTCCTGTTTGTCTGAACTGGAAAACAGTGGTTATCAGTTGTGTAACAAACAAGGATGTTAAACTAGAATTTAAAGCTGTTCTAATGTCCTGGCCTGTTCTTAAGTTGGCAGTCACAGTTTCCTAGGCTAGATAAATCAGAAAGTGACAGTTACTTAGAGACTTTTAATATTGAATGTTTCTGGCTTGAAGTAAGGAGCACTAGGGTTTAGGTACATGGGACTATTTTATCTCATTACGCACCATGTCTGTCCTCATTCATCTGCCCAAAATATGTTAGCTCACATGGGCTCAAATTCAGTCACTAGTCCCACCAGAGTAAATCCACTGAATCACCTATTGAATGGTGTGACAACACTTGGGTAAAGCTCATAGATTCAATTGTTCTATTCTTCTTTGGGCCACCAGTTGTATTCAGACTACAAGGAAAGAGGGTGGGGACTTAAAAGCACACCACCACTTGACTTCCTTGATGCATCTAGCGATTCAATTGTTCTATTCTTCTTTGGGCCACCAGTTGTATTCAGACTACAATGAAAGAGGGTGGGGACTTAAAAGCCCACCACTTGACTTCCTTGATGCATCTAGCACAGCACAACGCAGAAGGCATCTGTGCCCTGCCTCCAGGTCATCAAGCAGTTAGGCACAAAATAATGCAACAGCAACTTTGTCCTGGGCACTAGGCAGATCTTCAGGGGTACAAGCAATCTCAATGGGCTGCAGTAAATCTCCCCCACGGCCACCATGATCCACAAACTTGTCAACGAAAGTATTTATGACCTCAAGGATATTTTAAGCAGAAATACAGTAAGTAGTGAAGAGCAGATAACCTTCCTGTCCGGTTCAATTATTACTTTTGTCATTTTTTTACAGCTAAGTGACATTGCAGAACCACTAGGAGTTAAACGAAGACCAGGGAAGATCAATTTCTCTTCTAAGGCCCTCTGAAATAAGAAAATAATGATTGTTCTGAAAGGATGGTAATCTGGCAAATTCTCAGGTGAAGCCGAATTCACCTACAGATTTCCACAGACAAATCTGGTCTCTAGATCCATTACTCATCAGCAAGGCCAACAAAATAAAATAGGCTCTTAGAGAAGATGTATGATCATTCCAGAAGCCTACAAGTTAGAGCACAGAACATATCTGTTCTCTTTTCTTGCACAATCTCTTAAGAACTTAGAACAGTGGTTCCCAACCTTGGGCCCCCAGATGTTCTTGGGCTAAAACTCCCAGAAGCCTTCACCACTGTTCAGGTCAGGATTTCTGGGAGTTGTGGGAACCACAGCCTTAGAAGAATCCTGGCCTTTCATTACAATAGTTGTGATCTATAAATGACTCCAAAACAGATTTTCCAAGGGTTTTTAAGATGTTTTTCTAGATAATTTTTCTTAACTATCCTGAAGCTTGCCAGAAATACATGAGATTAATACTTTGAAGACAAGCCATTAGGACTTTAGTTAGTTACTTTTAAAAAACTGTGGGGAAGGGAAGACTCTCAGAGGTAGTAACAATTTGAATAACCATATGGATTTGGTTAAAACTGATAGCAATACTTAGGTTTAGATAACTATTTGTAGCAGTCTATTTTAATACAAGACGAACACTATAATCTTTCAAGAACCAAAAACTATTCAAAAGACACAGAATAAGAATAAATTATCAATCATCACATTGTAATAATGTAAATAGTGGAGAGAACCAGGAACTAACCTTAATAACAGCATGGAGCATGTAATAAAAACTAGACGTTAATTCCATTTGAACTGCAGGCAGAATTGAGCAAAACAGTAGACAGCTAAGCCTAAATTGAGCACAATAATGAATTCAATGTTTTGTTTTGAGGATAAATTGCATTGAGCCTTGACCTCACATGCTCTTTCCCCACTCCCCCCAACACTTCAACCTCCTTTGTCAGAATCAGTAGGTTGCCATTGCTAGTGAACGCAGACAACTGTGATTTGTGCAAACCACAGTTTGTTCCCAAACCATGATTAAAACTGTGGTGGGCAAACTGTGGCTCACAAGCCACATGTGGCTTTCCTGGGTCCCCAGCTCTCTCTTTTGCCTTCAAATAGCAATTTAGGCCTTCCAGAAGCCTCACAGGGTTCTGCTTTGCCATTTAAAGAGGATTCCCTCTAGGCCTGTTCAGGGCTTTTGAAGGCAAGAAATCACAAAGACTGATCTTATTTCTCTTTTAAACACTGGGATGTAGGGGAGGGGCTATGTTCCTCCAAGGACCAAGGAGGAAAAAAATGGCCCTTAAACCCTCTGAAGTCACCTCCCACCAGTAAGTAAAACTAGGATCGGAATTTGATAAAGTTATAAGTGAGTGGTCACGGCGGCTAGAGAATTCTGGGATTTACAGTCGAAAAAGGTAACTTTTGAAGACTCTGAATTGTATGAGATTCTGCTTTGACACAACATAATATGATTTTCACAAGCCACAAACCTACATTCAGCTACAATCTGTATTTGCTTGCAATATGCAAACTAAAACTTTTTATACCCTTTCCCCCCCTTCCATGGGACACGGAGTAGGAAGGGAACACTAGGTTTGAAGCTTTGTGCAGCTTGTTCATATAACATTTTACTCAAGCAGGAATTTATTTACTGAGTCAGTTATTTAGTTAGCTGTTTTGTTATTTGCATTATATTTTGCTTTTCTCTCTTTCTAAAATGGCTAACAGTATAGTCTACCAATTTTTTAAAAAATGACTTTGTCTATCTTACCAAAGGATTGTCTGCCAAAAATAAGCAGCAGATTGTAAAGAAACCTGAGGGATGCAAATATGTGAAGAAAGATCTATGCTGCAACTGAGTGAACTCCATGTACCTGCTGTGGTTCTTATCTCCTGTTACCATTCATACAGCAGCCATGTTGTGTTATAAAACAAAAAATCCTTCAAAACTAGGAGAACATTTGGGGGGAAAAGTCTACAGTATAGCTTGGGATGCATGCTGTGGGGCAGAGAAGCAGTGGAGAAATTGACGTCTTGATTGCTGTCCTGACTGGCCAGCAGCCCAATTATTTAACACCTTGCAAGATGCTGCACCAATGCACCTGCTTGCCTAACACATGTTGTTAACATTAGCTGAACTGCCTGCTCTAAGATGGATGTTGTTGGCATCCACTTCAACCCAAGAATAACTGGAATGAAAATAAAATATCAGATGATGTGCAGAAGCTGTGCCATCATTCTAAGATGCAAAGTCATGCAAGGGAAAGAAGAGGGAAATTATAAAGTTGCGAAGAAAAAGAGAAATGCATATACATCTAAATGACAGTTGAAGCACCAGAAGAATTGAGGCAGAAAGGCAGACTCCAAGCAAGCAAGCAAGCAAGCAAGCAAGCAAGCAAGCAAGCAAGCAAGCAAGCAAGCAAGCAAGCAAGCAAGCAAGGATTTACAATGGTGGGGAACTAAACCGAAGGAGTGAAGAATAAGATGGAAATAGTGAAAAGCTAAAACACTGAATTATGAGCAAAATGATGGGGCAGTCAAACTCAGAGCCATAAGCAACCAAATTGTCCTCTCTCTGACATTTTTGTTCATTATCAGCACTATTCATGATTCCCTCTATTATTACTAAACATAACTTGACTGCATTTGAAACCCTCATGCTTGTTTTTCACGACACATCCTCTGACAGTGCTTCCATTTCAACACTATAGGGAGGATTCAGCAGTGGAATTTTGCTGCAGGCCAGCTGAATTAGAAGATTGCTGCTCTCCTGGAACAACAACAACAGACCCCTGTATTTCACTTAAACTAGCTCTGATGGTGTGAAAAACCAAGCAAAGCCATGCTTTTGGACAGCATGGAACTTTGCATGAAGAAGGGCAAAAGAATGCCACTGTAACTGCTAGTGCAACGTTGGATTTAGCAAGAGGAAGAAGAAGAAGCTTTCACCACGTTAATTTATGAACTACAGTACTGTGGTTGCAGAGCAAATGGGTGGTGGAGATTTTGTGTGTGTTTATGTATAAACAAACATTTTCGATTTATACACATGATATGGATATTTAGTGTGGTGTAGTGGATAGAGTGACAGACTAGGACTCAGGAGGCAAGAGTTTGAATCCCTGCTGAGTCATGGAACCTCACTGGGGATGTGGAACTAGCAAAACCACTCCTTAGAATATCTCACTTACCTTGAAAGCCCTATTAAGGTCACTGTAAGTCAGTTCAGACTTGATGGCATATAGCATAACATATATATGATTGCAATCAGACATTCAGCAGAGATAAAGATATTTGAAAAATATTAGGGAGCATGATTCTGTTAAGGTTAGGAATGCTACTCTGCAGCTGCTTTCCTGTTTACTATCATGTTCTATTATGTTTTACATTTTTTAAGATGATTAGGTTTCCATACCAAAGTCTTCAATGAATACCTGAGTGGACCCACAAAAGGAGTCCTACTCAGAAACACTAACAGGCAAAGCTAGAGAGGAAAACACGATTAACTTTCTTGCAGAAATTCTGCTTTACAGCCTATGCTTTTAAAATATACAAATAATTCATTTATATGCCAAGTGCAAGATTAGAATTACATGTTTATTAATTCATGTAGCTGAAAACAGCACAGCCGATGCAAAATGTCTGTTTACAAATCAATTGCTCAGTTACATTTTTAATAGAGCTTTGAGCAGTGATTTGATTTAAGGGCAGGCAGTCAGGAAGTCTAACTAGACCTGTTCATAAACCTGTCAGCAGATCTTGATTTTGCTTAGCTGCAGAAAAATCTTAACTAAATGCATTATCATATTAATTGCTTGTATGTCAAACACGCAAAATGGAGATACTTTTAACCTACTGATGTTATTCTGTTATTAAAATGATAGCACACAGTAACACTCACAGTTGCTACTTGCTCGGTTGCTCCTTTGGTCGACTGAATTTTCACACTCTTTATACGGGTAGTGAAGAGTTGTATCCAAACTTCTGAAACCTTCTTTGAGAGAGTGATGCTTGTAATACTCCACAAGCTCCTTTTAAAAGATGGGGTGGGATGGGAGAGACATTAACATGTTAGTATGTGCTCTTCTGCCTTCAGTGTTTGGGGCATGCAATGTTTAATGCAGCTTTATACTACATATACTTAATAAAAAGCTGACGGCATACACCAAGATTCAGATCTATAGATCCTGTGTCCTGAGTACACTCCTGCACTGCAGTGAGTCCTGGACCCTTTGTGCACGTTCCATATGTATTGCCTCCAATGCATTTTTGGTATCACCTGGCAGGACGAAGTACCAAATAGAGTAGTCCTAGAACAAGCTGGAATTTTTAGCATGTATACATTCCTGAAACAGCGCCGTCTACATTGGCTTGGGCATGTTGTGAGAATGACTGATGGCCAGATTCCAAATGATCTCCTGCATGGAGAATTAGTGCAGGGAAAGCACCCCAGAGGGAGACCACAGCTGTGATACAAGGATATCTGCAAGTGGAATCTGAAGGCCTCCACAGATGGGAAACCTTGACATCTGAGTGTTCAGCCTGGAGGCAGGCGGTGCAGCATGGCCTCTCCCAGTTTGAAGAAGCACTTGTCCAGCAGGCTGAGGCAAAGAGGCAGTCCTGAAACCAACAAAATCAGGGAGCTGGACAGGGGACAGATTGGATTTGTCTTCAGTGTGGAAGGGACTGTCACTCTTGTATTGTCCTTCTCTGCCACACTAGATGCTGTTCCAAGACCTCCGTTCAGAGCACGTTACCATAGTCTCTTGAGACTGAAGGATGCCTACAATAATAATGCGAGATCCTCCATGGAAAACCTCTTTTGTGCCCATTCCTATCAAGAGCTTAGGTTGGTGGGTATACAAGACATGGCTTTCTCAGCAAAAGCACCCCAGTTTTGAAAAGGCCTGGGAGTGGTGATGTGACACACAGGCCATTTGCTTCTCCCCTTACATTTCATGTACCTAAACCAAAAAGCCCAGTAACAACAGCAAGCGCATAAAATGGCACAATGTTGATCTTAACTGGAGTAATTATACTGATGTTTCCATTCATTCAAATTAATATACCCATTTAGCCAGCTAATACTGTTCTATTGCAGATAATTATCAAGTGTCGCCCCCTTCTGAAATTCTCCAGCTTGGAGTATAAAGCAAGATTCTTCACATCAGCAAATCAGACATCCTAGGCAGCTGCTTTATGCCATATAGACAGAAATCCTTTAAAGTTAAACCCTAACTCTCAATAAAATTCTAATTGAGGATTCTGCTAATTTCAAAATCAGATGACATGAGTGAGCATTCTTTTGTCTAGCTTATATTTGAGTCAACTTTCCTTATTGTTTCTTGCAAATGTTGTTGTTGGGAATGTGTTTTGACTTCCAATATACAATGACCAGATCTGCACCATTTAAAGCAATGAGTGAATTAGAACTCCATTAAAGCACTGGCTTTCCAAAAGAAATCTTCGGACACCATCTTCTGCTTTGACTGCATTATCAGAAAGCATCAAAAAATCTGTCTTTTGAGATAAAAATATGGTTAGAAATACATATTTTGAGAACCTGTATGTACTGAAATGTTTTTAAAGGGAAATTCCCATAGGAATTTAAACTTACTGTTTGATGCAGATACAGAAGTGAGTGATGAAGAAATATATACAGAAGAGACAAAGACTTGTAATAGATTGATTCATCCACTACTCCTTGTTGTTGTTCTCCATGGTAACCTAAACCCAATACTTATTCCTCATTGTTGGCATATGGTGCAAGCAGATTTTCAGTCTTCAAGAGGTGATAACATGCATATTGCACCACCAGAGTTGTTTTCTGAGCACTCAAAACTGCTCATCAACACAGCACTGAAATACTGAGCCAATCCAAATTTAGTTGTCAGAAGCTTCTTAACAATTCTTTTTTATGCCAACATACTGCCTTTTTTGAGATGTCAGGCACAGTCAGAATTTGGGAGTTCGATTCCACGCTATGCCTCCTTGACAAGGTCTGGACTTGATGATCCATAGGGTCCCTTCTTGCTCTGCAGTTCTAAAATGATCGTGGTGATGAATTTTACATGTTCACATTATCCAGAGGAGCAGCTGTGCTGGTCTGTTGCAGAAAGTTCAATAAAAGATCTGATCTCCCTGTATTGATCCCAGTAGCAGCAATAACAAACTGACTTAATTTTTGCATTTTAAAAACTTGATTTTTTTGTGCAAAAATTGACATTTAAAACATTGTATTTGCCTGTAAGAGGTTTGCATTAAAACCATGTCCGCAGATTTTCTCCCCAGAAAGCACAAAATGTGAAAAATGCACAAAAACTTCCACGAGCTTGTCCAGCGGGGAAAGAACTTGTGAAAATGTTCATAACCAAGCATGAGATAAGCAATGAATTTACATTCTTAACTCCTGCTTCAGTAACCAAAGATGCCTTCCATAGAATTATTTTCCTTCTACCATTGATGTAATTTAAGTACGTACCTTTCACAGGCACCGAGCGGCTAGGGATGGGATTCGCTGACTTACAAATACCATAATGGTTCTATCTATCTTTCACATTCCTGAATGTCATGCACCTGGGAGAAAAACTTATATCCAAAGACACTGAAGGCTAGCTAGGCCAAGCTCCACTCTACCATCCTGCTATGAAAGAAATCTACTAGCTAGCACCAGAATAGAACACTTGGACAGAACTTGGCCTAGCTAAGCCTCAAAGCCTTCTCATGTAGGCTGTTCTCCCAGGTGCATCACAGTCAGGTATTTGCAAAATGCTTATAAGGTAAGGTAGGTTAAAAAAAAACTCCAGAATGGAGAATAATAGTATTTGTAGGTCATAAAATCTGAAAATTGCATCCCTAGTAGCTGTGTTACTCTGGCATGTTCTCCAAGCAACATCGCTTGTTTGGTTTAAATAAATGAAAATACTGTTTTTTTAAAAGAAAGAAAGAAAGAAAGAAAGAAAGAAAGAAAGAAAGAAAGAAAGAAAGAAAGAAAGAAAGAAAGAAAGAAAGAAAGAAAGAAAGAAAGAAAGAAAGAAAGAAAGAAAAATCTAGGTAAAAGAAATTCACAAGATTCTTTGGAAGCAACCATTGTAGGCTCTTCCTTGTAGATAGGCTGCAAGAAGAGGTTCTTTGTATTTAATCAAATGTCCCCAGAAGCTGGTTCTGGCAGCTTCTCTTATCTTGAGAAGACATACAGGGCCATTTTCAAGAGCCAAACCTAAGTTTGAAGATGCTTGCAAAATATCAGAGAGAAGTAAAATTCATTTGACTGCCTCAGAGAGAACCAGGTCTGTTTTCTTTGAATCTTGATAATATAAACATAGACTGAGAGTGAAAAGGTATACATTTCAGAATCTGAGCATAGTATCTAATTATTCTGTTCTTTCAAACCATAGCATTTGGCTTCTCAGAATGAAAGCATAAGGAGGTTTATTTACAGTAAACTGCTATCTCATCAGCTATTCATTCAATATTCTGTTTAGCTATGTTTAAGTTTCCAAAATCAAAATAAATCTGGCAAGCCAAGTTTCAGTCCAAATAAGCAGACTTTTTAAAAAAGTTACAGTGGTGCCTCGCTTAACGGGCGCTCCATTTAGCGACGAAACCGCATATCGATTAACTTTTTGCGACCACAAAAGCGATCACATTGCGATGTTTCCTATGCGGTTTTATCACTTTGCGATGATTGTTTCCATTTTGCTTACCGATCATCGCAAAGTGATGATTTTTAAACAGCTGATTGGTGGTTCCAAAATGGCTGCTGAGTAAAAAAATGGCTGCCCACTGTGTTTTCGTGCCGATTCCTCGCATAAGAGGCAGCGAAAATGGCAGCCGTATGGAGGATCTTCACTTTAAGGTCAATTTTTTGCCCATAGGAACGCATTAAACAGGTTTTAATGCATTTCTATGGGCTTTTAAAAATCGCGTAGTGATGAAATCGCTTAGCAGCGATTTTTGCTGCACGGATTAATGTCGCTATGCGAGGCACCACTATATAAACATTTATAAAGAATCACATAGCTGATCCAGGTCCATCTCTGAATGACCATTATGGTTCAGGATTATTTCAGATGCAGTGATTTATGAAGTGAACAGGAAGCACTGGTGACTTGCATTTCCTGTTTTCAAACTTTAATGTCCTCATATCAGATTATATCAAAGGAGCATGGCAAAAGGAGGCATGAATCATTTTGTGCTTTCTCCTTAGCTGGGAGATTGTCACATCTAATACCACTACAAAATAATAAACAGACAAATGTCTTCTTCACCAAGGGAAGAGCAAGCAGGGATAATTCATTCATTCTCAAGACATCCCCTAATCACATGACGGAGAACTGCCATGTGCTTGCTAGCCCCATCCCTTCTATCATATTCTCCACAGCTGATCTCACAGCATTCTGGGTGCTGGGGGTTAACATGTGCAACAGGCAGGATTTTGTACTGCCGTAGACCTTTAGCACACTGTTATTGTTTAGATGTTGTGTCCGACTCTTCGTGACCCCATGGACCAGAGCACGCCAGGCCCTCCTGACTTCCACTGCATCCCAGAGTTGGGTCAAATTCATGTTGGTAGCATTGATGACACTGTCCAAACATCTCATCCTCTGTTGTCCCCTTCTCCTCTTGCCCTCACACTTTCCCAACATCAGGGTCTTTTCCAGGGAGTCTTCTTTTCTCATCAGACGGACAAAATATTGGAGCCTCAGCTTCAGGATCTGTCCTTCCAGTGAGCACTCAGGGTTGATTTCTTTCAGAATGGATAGGTTTGTTCTCCAGGGGACTCTCAAGAATCTCTCCAGCACCACAATTCAAAAGCAGGAAATCTTCAACAGTCAGCCTTCTTTATGGTCCAGCTCTCACTTCCATACATCGCTACTGGAAAAATCGTAGCTTTGACTATGCAGACCTTTGTCGGCAAGGTGATGTCTCTGCTTTTTAAGATGCTGTCTAGGTCTGTCATTGCTATCTTCCCAAGCTTCTGGGAGAAGCAGGCGTCTTTTAATTAAAATTAAAAGAAGCAGTTGTCTTTTAATATCATGGCTGCTGTCACCATCTGCAGTGATCATGGAGCCCAAGAAGGTAAAATCTGTCACTGCCTCCATATCTGGGAATGTATGGGACCAATGTTGAAAATCTGAGAATGCTGGACAAAGCAGGAAGGGGTCCCAATAACTTGTGGAGTAACACCATCCCTGAATTACACCAATGCCGCTCACATATAAGCCAAATCAAGCTCTAGCTATGCATCCAGCTGGTTTCTTCACCTAAGACCTCCTGCAGAAATTTCATCTGAAATTCCTACAACAGATTCCTAGATTGCTTGGGATAACTCAGGGCAGAAAGGTCCAGAAATGAGGAAACTACTAAGCTGAATCACTTGCACAATTATGCTCGTATTTGTATCTAATTCTGAAGCATCTTTGTTTCTTATGTATCATGTTCTAAACCGAAGAACAGAAATGAGTAGGGGCAGGACAAAGGGCATCACAAAAGAGGCAAGAGGGAAGAGAACACTTCCATGGGCAACATATTACCAAACAACACAAGAAGACTCACTATCCAGTAGGGAAATGGACTGAGTGGCACAAGTACATTATCACTGAGGCCCAACTTTCCAAAGAGCTGATAGCCAAGCAATAAGCATTTTATTATGGACCAAGTCAACTTCTGAATTTATACTTAACACTAAAACTCTGGAAAATACACAGTGAGACAACTCTGATCAAAACTAGTAGTATAAAGGAGGTCTGTATAATTCATTCTTAATACCCTTTGGGGATGACTGGTTTTCAAGGTACATCAGCAATACAAATAAGCCAAGGCAATGATGATCTGTTTATCTCTAAAACATGCTGCTTGTTGACCTCACAGTGTGTTGCAATAAAGAATGAAATCTCCATTGTATACAGCTGTCCCTAGGCTGTGAAGTATAGGATTTTTTTAAGGGCTTTGTTGTTGCTGCTGCTGTTCATTTCCTCACACCTTTATGGGGGTTTTTTGCCCTAAGTTTTTATTTGTTTTCAATAGGAGTAGGGGTTGGGATGTGGATACGGGGAAATAAGGGGGGGTGAGTAAGGATGGGGAAAGGGTATAATTCCAGAGAGTGAAAGAGTATTCTTTATTCTCATCCACTTAATTATGCCAAAAAGTGAAATCACATAAGTAAACAATATAACAATTTTTTCCAAAATATCTATTATTACTGCTCTCTTCATTCCTTTGGATCTTCTCATACTTTTTTATCTATGCTTTCCAATCCATATTTCAGATCCAGTTATAAAACTGTTCCCATTTTTAGTCCTTTTTGAGATGATCTTTCATTTCATGCTTTCATTAGTATATCCATCTCTGCCACTTCCAGTATCTTTTCTATCAGTTCCTCAAGAGACAGTATTTCTTCTTTCTTCCAATATTTTCCATATAATATCCTCGCTGCCATAATGAAATGTATTATCAAATATCTCATTATCTACAGTTTCAGTCATAATATTGAATAGAAACAATTCCAGTTTAAATGCTATCATATAAGATAAGATTTATGGGGTTTTGATCGTACTATTTGCTTTAGTTAGCTCACTGAAACCATCCTCAGTGTGAGCACTTACCATATTATTAGTGATGACTGCCAATATGGATAGTGATGACTAGAGACACAGTTTCAGTATAGGACAGCCACAGGCAGAATATTCATGTTCCCAAACTCATGAACCATTCATGGGTTTCTTAGAGTTAAGAGTTGGACAGTATATGACCAGAATGTTGTTCTAGATAGGCCTTTAGACCCTTCCTGCATTACTCTTTTCTTATATTCTTTTGATTGTAACGGGAAGAAGTATAGATTGCACTGGCATTGTTCTGCTAAGATATTTTTCTACAGTCCCCAGTGAATCACCCTTTTTTGAAGATGATGTTGGAAGTTCAATAAGATCTTGGACGGAGGGGTGGAGAATGAACACTTTTGCTTACCATTAAACTTCTGAATTTTCTATTTTCTGCAATTTGAAAAAAACTTTCTCTTGTGAAAATCCTGATGTGCTTCACTTCATTATTGTACCTATAGGCAACAAATAACGTATGAATATAAATGTGTTTTTAATCAACAGAGATCAATAGTTACTTGAGGGCATGCCCTACCACTAGACAAATAAATTCTTAAGACATAACAGAGATCTGTGCCAATACACTGCTGACACCTAATTAACAAAGCAAATTTATTAGGGTCTGGCCGAAGACACACTCTCAATTCAGATTTTTACTGAATGCTTCAGAACAAGATCTAATTATGGGATCCCATAATAATAATTGCATTCAAATCCACATTGATAAAACAGATCGGCAGTTTTTAATAGAAATTAATATTCTTTAAGGTTGTACCCACTCTGTTTACGGGAAATATTCTGTTGTTTGACTTCAGTTGGTAATCATCAAATAAATTCTAAATGTTTTCTAGTTAAAATGCAAATGGAACGCTATTATCACCTTATGCTAACTAGCATAAATTCATTTGTGTTCCAAGTCAAAAGTTCCATTAGTACACTCTCTCCAGTGACGCAATGATGACTTTCAAAAAAAGGAAGAGGTAGTCTGAAATCCAGAGGAAAGTAGTGTGACTGGCTACATGAATGAAGTACAGAATGTCCAGATATACGGACTCCTGATCTAAGGAATCACAATGAATATCTCCAAACACAAAAGCTGTATGACTGGATGAAAGGACTTTCATGCCCTTGTAGGTGGGTCCTTACATAACAAAGATGTTAATCATGAGGATTGTATTTTTTAAAATTTTTATCTCTGAATAGGCAAGCCTTGATAGTTTAAGGACACCTACTCCAGTAAGGGTTTAATGAGCTGTACCGACAATTCAAAGATACTTTTCAAATCAACTAGATTTTTATAACTATTTCAACAGTTGGAATATATCTGACATAAATCTAAGTGATTATTTGTCACACATCAAATGTAGCAATAATGAAATAAATAAATTATTTGCAGAAAATAATTACATATAACTTACTTAATGCTAATGGCATATTCTCCCGATTCTTTCGTCCTGCACCTGACTAGGTAAGTGCTATTTACCCGGTTAATAAGTTCAGCCTCAGCCTGCAACCTTTCCATTGTTCCCGCATACCTGAAACAAAGCGAGATTCTCATCAACCAGTTGCTGGGTGCAGGATTCCATCCACCCAAAGCAAGAGAAACACAGTGTTTACCCAGGTAACCAAAGAAATACCTGTGCAGACTGATTAAATATTTATTATTCACAGTAACTATATATTCTTAAAGTGCCATATCACTTTAAATACCGACAAAATGTCAGTCAATGCAGAGTACATTCAATGCGAACACTCGAACACACCCAAATCCATCAGGAAGCCGAGAGATCTGGCTCAAACATGTCCAGCTTGTATGATCCAGTTTTTATGCTTTGAAAGACTCTAATCAAGACTTTAAAGTCTCATACTTTCTTTTGTCACAGAATTTACTTGGAAAATGGCTTCAGTTCCTTTGTTGAAATTTTGGACAGTCCCAGCTAACCAGGTTACTTGCATGAATACCCTGTTTCACTTCCTTTATCAAAGCTTGAGGCATGAGCAGAGCTTGTAAAATGCACTGTGATGAGTGAAAAATGCTGCTCTAGGAGTCACAGCTCCCTCCCTCACTGCCTCCTTCCCCTCCATCTGTCTTTCTCTCTCTAATCCTGCAGTCCTCCCCTCCCCCCTATTGCAAAAGGAAAACTGCCCTCTTCTCGCAATAAGAGAGTTCAAGCGGCACATAGAGATATAGCTCTGCAGGAGAATGTAGAGTAGTCCCATGCTGGAGAATATGGAGTTTCTCTGCTCCCAATTTCAACCGAACGATGACACATCCTGGGGTGGAAGAGAACCATGGCTCCTTAAGAGGCCAGACGCTTTTGCTTTCAGTTTTATTTTTGCTGGAAACATTCAAAAGAAAGCCATGCAAAATACAAGCTTCATGACCCCACAGGCACGCAGGTAATAAATCAACCCAAGTCTGAGGGTATAAATCAGTGATTCCCAATAAATTGCAAGGCTATAGTCCGGTCATGCCAACTAGTGAAATTTTTAACTGACTGGTGAGACATTCTAAAATTTTTCAAGCCCTGGACATGAGTCTTATCAGTAAAGGACCATTCCCATCAACACAGACTTCCTGGGAAATAAAAATTCAAAAGCATAGAAATTGGATCATACAAGCTGGATATGTTCAAGCAGGATCTCTCGGCTTCCTGATGGATTTGAGTGTTTGCATTGAATGTACTCTGTATTACTTGAAATTTTGTCAATATTTAAAGTGATATCGTATTTTAAGAATATATAGTTACAATGAATAATTCATACGTTGTTAGTCTGCACAGGTTTTTCTTTGGTTACCTGGGTGCAGGATTCCAGCCAACAGACCGCCTGTCCAGAACCACATTACCCAGATGAGATCCACAGGGAATTCTGCTTTGGTGTGCTGGATTGGGAGTGAAGGCACTTTGCCTCTATGCTTAGAATAAAAATTCCCACACACAGGAAAAGTTTACTGCCTCTTGTATAACCAACGTTTCAGTAGTTCCAAATGGCTGACCAGGGCATACTAGAATAACTTCAGAGAAACCACTAATGTGCAATTAGAGATAATGAATGTCTCCTACGAGATTCTGGGTGAGCCTCCTCATGTGAGAACCAGTGATTCTGCATGTTTCTAATTCTAGCTAATGCACACACCACTACTCTGCATATGAAGAGGAACACACAAGACAGCTAGATACCTGTCTCCTGATACCCTCCCCTGTATCTGGCATTTTGAGGTACCTTCCTTTTAAGCCTGCTAAATGAGATACTCCAAGGAAAGAAGGAAGTCCTTATTACAAATTAAAACAGCCATCCCAAACTTAGTGAAAAAGTATCCTGATGGTTGCCATTTGATGGTGGTATCATCCAGGTAAAGGTGAGTTAGTTTCAGTGCCAGAGAGGAAATAGTGTGGGAAAAGATGTTCTTTCCTTACATGCCTCACATGATTCTGAGTTACTATCATAGCGATGGCTGCCCAAATTGGAGCTTAGGAAGATAGTGCTTTATACTGTCCATGGGTCCCTCTAGCTATGCTGACTGGCAACAGCTTTCCAAATCTTGGAGATCTTAGGGGCTGATCCCACAACCTTTTGTGTTGTGAGATCACACACCCTTTACCCCTTAGCTACTGCTCCTCTTTCCAAGAAGTTAGGAAGGTCAAGGAGACTCACAGAATAGATTCATCTCATAATCTGCATATCCACTACAACTCAAAAATGCACAGCATGATCCCTCCTTCTCTCATCTACAAACTCAGAGGAAGGAAATCTAAAAGCAGGTGTATAGTCTGTGGCATACAAAGCAATGAAATGTCTGAGGATCGTAGGCTTAGTAGTGAAAGAAAGTGTGATCTGGTGCAACGGGCAAGTGCTAGTGATGAGGAGCTGACCATCTGATTTTCCAGTTTTCCTTTGAAGTATCAGAACCTCAGCCATCCTTTTGTTCACTCTCACCAACAGTTTCTAGGTACATATAAGGTTGTAAACAAACTGTCAAAAACATAAACTATAGCACACCCATGAAAAACGCTGCTAGGCAATGCCTATATTCAATTATTTTTTCCTACATTACAACCGAATGCCTTCTGCAGAAGACCAGAAAGGTTAAATCACAAGAAATCACATTGTTTTTAATAGCAGTTTTTTCCCCTGCTATTTATTTAAGCTCCCAACTTAAATAGTTTACACCTACTTACCATGGCTGGGAAGAGTAGTCCACAGGTTTAGGAACCTAAGATTTGAAAACAAAGCAAAAACAAATCACTAGTACATCTTTAAAATTCTGATGCATCCACTAAACAGCATTGACCTACAATATAAATACATGCACAAACACAAACAATAGAAGCACTCATCAGTCTATTCATTTTTAAAATGACTATCTAAAACAGATGCAGTGGGTTATTCTGGGACTGTGGCATGATATTTAAATTTGAAGAACTTATTAAAAAAACACTGCACCATAATTTGTCTCATGTTCTTTTAATTAAATATGCCAGAACCCTGATATTTAGGTGTGCATAAGTGAAATTGCATAAATCAGATGCCAATCATTTTCCTGAGTGCATGCCCCATGCAAACCAGAAATGCAACAAAAATTCATTAACCACAGGAAATTTGCACGACTTGTGCAATTTCACTTCTGTACACTTAAATCTCTAAGATTCTGTGCACAGTGTGGATGTCTGTATAAACTAGATTTAATTACTAGATTTACCCAGTAACTTCTAATTTCTTCCCCCTGTGCTGTTTCTATAGTTTCCCCTCAACCTGTTTCCCCTTTCCTCCCACCAAACTCTTTGCACTTTATCCTAATTAACACCTATATAGGTGTTAATGGTCCTTCCAGGATCCAAATGCAGGTAACCTTCTACACTACAAGCTGTTGGAGTTTTTGCAATCTCATATGCTGCTTCTAGTAACCAACAGTTCTGTTCTGCTCTGAATTCAAAGAGAGGCCCACCTCTCTGCACAGTGCTTTTTTCCCCTTCCCTTTTAGTCTGTTGAAAGCAGTGAGTGTTGAAGTTGTTTGCTGAAAGCAGTCATGTTTGTCAATTTGCTGATTTGTTCAATTGTAAGTAATGAAAACACTTTTATTCTTTCTCCTATTAATGTCTCACAGTGAGTTATTGAGACTGTAAATGCCAGTTATTGAGAAAAGTGGGTGGAGTTATCTGGAGGAATTCAAGCTATTCTGCTCTGTGAATCCCTGCACTTCTGTTGCACAGCTAGAGGAATTTAACCAGAAATTCAAAATTCTGCAACACAACAAGCAAGCATACAATCAGTGCAAGAAACATGGGTTGTTGTTTTTTTTGTCTCACATGACTCAGGTATACTACCATGTAAGAGCTCAGCTATAATATATAAAATAATATAGAAAATAATTCTCAATGTAGGAACTATATCACTATAGGCAGGATTATTTGGAGAAAGAATGCGACAGGTTTCATATGGTAACTAAAAATAATCCCCTGCTTTCACCAGAATAAAAGCAAGTGCATATAAATGAATAAAAAACTGCTATGCATTCAATACAGAAAATGCCTTGTTCGCAGATGTCCCTTCTACAGACAGAAAAATATTTATCTGAGAACATATCATATTATAGAAACTCCTAACCTAAGCCATTTTTCATTTGATATTTATTCATCCTGCATTGTGATGTATGTATTTCATGCTGTTTTGAGGCACTCTTATACGAACTGCATGTAAAGGCTGTTATTTAATAATAGTAGTAAAAGTTATGGTGAAGATTTGACAGATATATTCAGCATCTCCAAGTGTTACTGTTTGTTGTAACAGAATGTTTATATTTTGCCCTTCCAGATAAATGGGAGAGAAACATCCATTTATCTTTCCAGTTACACCATGTGTCTAATAGGCTGAGACCTTGTGTCTATTTGTAATATTCAGGCAAATTCATTCAGGTTTCAAGACCAACTTCTGCCTGGTAAGGATATAATGTATACAGAAAGTCTTATCTATAGCTAATAATTATCACTCTCCTTCAAGGCCATTTTTGTTTCCCTTTCCATCCTACTTGGACATGGAGCCCAAGAAAGACACATCTGTTCACCATAATAAACTTTTTGTGGCTTTTGTGGATCTTCCAATAGAAATCCACAAAATTATAAGTTACAAATAAATTATAACCCTGAAACATAATGTATCACCTCTAGAAAAAAGACCAAAACAAGCTTGGGAAGGAGCATTGGCTAGAAATTACTCATGCATTGAAGATGCAGATTAGAAGCTTTCAAACCATTTAATGACAGACTATATATTACATTAATTGCATGATCACATTTGACAAGACTCTGCTGATGTTTTTAAACATAGCTACAAGCTATCTCAATGAGAAGTGAGAGCATGGCATATGGAGAAAGGCATTAGCACTGACTATATCCAGTTGACTCAAAAGGTATACTCCAGTTGAGACTAAGATTTGTATTTAGGCTCTGAATGGGCCTTGCAGAGTTAAAGGAACAACAACAAGAAAGTATGGCATGAGCCTCACCAGCCTTGCCATTTGAGTCCTGATTAAGTTATTTGCTTGGTAAGTTATCTGATTTAACATAGTGTCTGAATCCTGTTGTGCGGTGTTGTCCACACAATAGGGAATGAGGTCATCAAAGTGCTGCTGCTTTCAGGTGATACCAAAGGAAGCCCCTAATCAACCACAATTTGCCATTCCTGATGACATTGTCATCACTGTGCATGCAAAATGGCGCAACATGGTTTCCACAGATTTATTATTGGTATCTTGTGAAGGACTGGGTGTGTTTTTTTGCTCACTACTTACCAATCTGAAACCCACCACTTCACCTGTATTTTTCAGTGAAGATGGACTGTTAATTGCCACATATTTTTAACCCCAGTAACAACTATCCTTCAAAAAACCTGAAAGGTTAATGCTGTTCACTCTGGGAGTTTATCAGTTCTCTTTTCAGAAACTGAAAAGTCATTCTGCCTTAGCAAACGTCTGAAATCTCCATAGCCCTATTCAAGCATTACAGAATCATGTTCTTGAAGGGAGTGGTTATCCATGTTCCCTCTGTCTTTTCTTTCTTCACACCTTCATCACTGAGTCTAAGAGGAGAGTTTTCTGCTCACATGTATGTTCTCCACACTAATCATAGAAAATGGGGGTTCTTGTTTGCATATGGAGCGTACACCTAAACAAAAATCTCTTCACTTCAGATTTGTCATTGCTTGTATGAGGAAAGTGATGATAGAGGGGGCAGATCTAGTCACTTCCTCTAAGTGCTTTGAAGAAACTGCATTCTGTAACAACTGAATAGAGCTCTTCTATCTGTGGTGTGGAGAACAGTAGTTATATAATTTGAGCCACAACTCCTTCCGGTCTGATCCAGCTAGCTGACTCAATGATCCTGGTGTAAGGTAAGCTATTTACACATAACTTTGTTCACAGACAAAGTTATAAGAGCATAAGCTGCAAGTTAATGTTCTTGTTGATGCTTTAAAATATTCTGAAATTATGCACACCTCTTTATTTCCTCAGGTAGGATAGAAGAGGAGGAAATAAAGGAAAGACGAAGTAGGTTATGCCCACCTCATTATTTCCTCTGGAAGGAAAAAAAGAGGAAATAAAAGAAAGTCATAGTAGGTTGACATATGGCTTTGATTTTAGAGTTTTCCGATTTTTAGATGCATTTCTGAAGCCATTATTATGGTATAATCTCTCTCTATAACTCAAGATGACTAGGAAATATATTAGAACTAGAGCATTCTTGCCACACTGTTAAGAAAATAGCTATGACATTCACTGTAGACTTGGGAGTATACTCAGCCTGAAAACCTGTTAGACAATTTAACCTACTGAATTCTATTAAGTTAAATAATTGCTTGTGCAAATCTCCTTCATGCTTCCAGTTTTAAGTCTAATAGCTAATAAATGTAATGATTGTACTTCAAGGATTTTAATTTCAATATCTTCATTTTTTTAAATTTTTAAACTTTTATTTTTTGCTGTTGTCCACTGCCTTAAGTCCTTTCACCGAGAGAAAGGCAGCATATAAATAAATCAAGTAGGTACATAAATAAATGTTTTTAAACAGCATCAAATGTAGCATGCATACACTAAGAAACAAAAAAAGTAATATAAATCCCAGTAGGCAGATTTAATAAAAAGCAGGTACATTCATGGGAGACATTTCTGTGAAAAACAGTTATGCGGAAAAAACACCATACAGTTCTGCTTACACATGGACAAGGTTTTACAGCTTCACTTGGAAAGAAACCAAGCTCCTGGGTCACCAGATTTCTACCCTACAAAGAGACCAAAAAAATCCCATTAAGAGCAACACACACACAAGGCCTTTATATATACAGAAGAATCCAAATTTGCACATTCTATACATTTATCTAATATATTTATATGTCGCCTTTCACCTAAAGCAGTGTTTCCCATCCTGGGGGGTTGTGACTTCCAAGGGGGGGCACAATGTGTTTTCAACTGGGCCATTTTACTGATCTGTGGGGGGTTTTCTAAATAAAACAAAGGTCTTGCACACAAAGTCCTGCTTTCCCAAGCATCCCTGTTCCAGACCATAATCTCTACATATTTTACATCTAAAAGTGAACAGAAGAATGATGGACACAAATTTGGTGCACTGGACAGAATTCTGAGGTGCTGCCACCGGAACACTTGGCCTTTAAAGTGTAATGAAAGACACTTTAAAAGGCCCAATGTTGCAGTGGTACTCGGCATTCTGAAGCATCACCTCAGAATTCTGTCCAATGCACCAATTTTTTGTCCATTGTATTCGCGAAGGCTTTCACAGCCGTGTTCTAATGGTTGTTGTGGGTTTTTTCGGGCTCTTTGGCCGTGTTCTGAAGGTTATTCTTCCTAACATTTCACCAGTCTCTGTGGCCGGCATCTTCAAAGGACAGGAGTAGCACTCTGTGCTCTGGTGAAGTTTGTTTGGGAGTTGAGTACAGTATTCAACTTCAGAACATGGCCAAAGAGCCCGAAAAACCCACAACAACCATTTTTGTCCATTCTTTGTCACCGATATGTGGGTGGGTTGTGTTTTTTCCCCAGTTCCCTTTCAAAAGTGTACAGAGCAAAGTGGTATGTTTGGAAACCTTAGGATAAGCCCCCAGGGATGCCTAGACATAAACTGTGATGCAACAGTGACTTTACAAGGTCTTCATGAAAATATTCTTTATGCAGGTAATACTTTTAATTCTTCTGGATATTCATTACATTTTTTTAAATAATGAAATTTCCTTCAAAATAAAAGCCATTGACCCTGAACCTGAAGTTAGATCCTGATTTAGTCATACACAGTTCAGATTTACTGAAATCATATTCTAATGGATTCTGCTCTGATTGTGACAGAAGATCAGAACAGACATTACTTCAGTTACATCTCCTTTTCCCCATTTACTGTAGCGGAGATGTGGTGTCCCTATCTAGGCTAATCAGTAGCACTATTTCTATCCCATGTGGTTTACCTGCCAAAATAAGCTATGTGCATCCCCTTTGATGAGTTCTATGATGTCCCCAATCTGGACATGTAGCGGAGGGCCATCATTAGGAGATGGTTGTGGTATCCCACTGTAGTTTCTAATTACTTGCATTTTTGGCAAACCTGAAAAAAGACAGTGGGCAAGAGGTTAGCTACACCGGCAAACATCTTTGGCCTTTAACAACCACTTTTGCATCTCATTGTGTTGCATACCTGCATCTTCCTTACACAACATTAATGTTTGTTTACCGAGCTTTCATTTCGTGCATTGTAAGAAGGGGGCTACAGTTCACAAAACTTGTGCTAAATAAAACCTGGTAAGTCTTTAGTGTGCCGCAAGACTCCCTGTTGCTTTAGCTGTAATAAACTAGCACAGCTATTCAAGAACTCTCTTAGGTATCTCAAGGACCATTTAGTTGACAATCAACTATACATGTAAAAATACAAGGAAAGAAGCAAACTCAAATGAAATAGTAGAATATAGAGGGGAAAAAGAAACAACATCAAGCAAAGACTCAGATTGTGAAACTCGAGGGGAAAAACATATGAAAGGTTCCAATAACCTGATTGCCTCTCAACAACTAGTTTAGGGTGGAGAAAGATTCAAACATGTTTCGACAGCTTACTGCACATGAACAATAATGAAAGGATGGCGTTTTCACCTCATCTCCTGTAGGCCTTCTCTGTATGATTATTATTTGGAGAAAGGGGGGATTGCTCAAGAAAAATATTTTTCTTTAGGCTGCTGCTTAGTTCATAAAAGCACAGTATGTACAGTGAAATGGAAAACAATCATTTTTTTTCATCAGCACAGTCCTGTTCTCTTATTAATTTTCTCTTGAGGCACAAGTCAATTTCATCACCTTGGACACTCATCCTTTTCAGAGAGTGTACACAGCCCTAGCCCTCCAAAAGATCTATATCTTAAGATTATCTTTCTAATTTTAGAGCAAAAAAGAAAGAAAGAAAAGTGGGGGAGTGATAAATATGATGAAGTAATTCTACAGACACTGATAGGGAGAAATTCTGCAGGCTTACACATCATCCATCTTAGTTGTGTCTCACCAAAAACGAAACATGTCCAAGACAACAGAAATCACAAGTGCCTCCACATTTCCGACATAATTGTTTGGAGAGAAAAATCTCATTTTTCTTAAGTGCTATTGAATTTAGACAGCAATCTAACCTTTCAATTACACTTTACAAGCAAAATAACTCCAGTAAGGCACCCCTTATTGTTGCAAGTACTCGCCTCTTAGGTGAATGATGATGTGAAAGCAGTAACTTCTAATGAAACAAGGGTCTTCACACAGACAGAAGCAATCATTTTGATTTTTTTTAAGTTAACAAGGAAGTTTTTAAAAATGAGGAAGCCATTCCCTTCAAGTACAAGATTATGACAATTATTTCCTAACGGTTTATCATTCAAACCACATCTAATCCACTTTCTAACTACTGCAGAAGGCTCTGGAGGCTTCTCCTCCCCCAGTTCAAATGCAAGAGTTGTCTTATTCAGATGTTCAGAGAGAATGTATGAATAGGCCTGGAAGGCTATATGTTCATGCCCTGTCCTCAACACTTTAAATTCATATCAAACTTTTGCAGGTTTAACAGAAGGATATGAGGTTTTGAGTGAGGCAGCCACAGTAGTCCGTTGCAGAAAGAAAGAACAAAGGGTCATATGGACTGCCTGGGGCAGGATGTGCAGCCTTATGGAGGGTGAAAATTAACTAATGCCCCAGTATTTCAGAGCGCTGTTTCCTTTCAGAGCATTTTAAGAAATGAATGCTTTAACAAATGTGGACTTATTTGGAAGCCATTAAGAAGCGGTATTCAATGTATACACACTTTACCAAATGTAAATATTTTCATACGAATGTTTGCTTGTGAGCTGTGCCCCAAACAGAGGGGAAGTAAGTGTCAACACGTGACAAACATTATTGTTTATGCCCAGGCTCAAGGAGTAGAAATTTGATATGTTTGAAATGTGAACCAGTGAATTTCTCACTCATCTGCACTCATTGACTGTTTGCAAGAGCCAGGCCAGCATTTCAAGCCCAAACAAAGCCAGCTTAACATGCTACTATTTGCTGAGCAAGGGAAGGTTACATCAGGTGATGTTTTACCTCAAATGTTTACTGTGTGTGCGTGCAAGACGTGCACAGACTCATTTGGAAATCGTTAAGGAACATATGACCAAGGGTGTTAACACTCAGCTGACGGTGAAAGTGTACTTGAATCATTCACGATCTGTGACCTCCCTTGCAATAAGATCTGTGCTTAAAAATATTTCTCTGGAACCATTGCTGTACCACAGCCAATATATATGACAGGTTTTGAAGACAAACTTCTGTTACATTAGGGCAGACTATGCATTATCTCCCCCCACTCTAGCTCAAAGGGGGGGGGAAAGGCTTGACAATATCACAAGGCTGCTGTTGTGTGTTTTTTTACCAGAAGTAATGCTTTCAGGTGAAAAGCCTCTTTGATTTCTCAAGCTGATGAGCAAATAACCATCTCAGTAACGGTGAAAGCCCATGGCTGATTAACATTTTGCCTGTCTGGAAAAACCAGAAATTTGGGCTGGTTTCCAGAATTTTGTTTTTTCAAGCTCTGTCATTTTTGTCCTTGAAGCCAGCCCTGCTTCAAGGTTCCTGTGTTTGAGGCTGCAGCATGCAATCATACATAAAGTTTCCACAGCCTGCTGCAGTCAAAGTGGCCCAGGCCACATTGAACTTCAGGAAAGACAAGGCCAGGTATAAAAGGAGGTCATGAAGGCTGCAGCAGTGGAGGTTTGGAGGGCTTTTCCCCGCTTTCTTTCTCATATATACCTCTGCAAGCCTTCTTCATTTAGCCATGCTCCAGTTTCCAAAGCTTGGCAAGCCTGGCATTTGACAGCATGACCCCTAAGCTGCTCTACAAATGAAGACACCTTTCCAAAATCTCGTTTATGCAAACTTCATTCCTGTCCCAACAACGTTTGTACTCTCTTACCTGTTTCCCAGTATGTTCTGAGGAAATTATATGTGGGATTCCTTTGTTTACTAAATATTGCACACACAAAAACACAAATGGCTCCTTGCCTTTGCAGGTAGGTCCAAGGGCCATACTATAAGTTACAGGCCACCTGTCATTAGAGTTAAAATCAAGTTTAGCATTCCAAAGATGTGATTAAGATAGATTTCTGTAGATGAGAAATCAGATTTGCAAACAGTTATCTTCCGAAGACTAGTCACAAAACAAAGCAAACTAATAGGCAAACAGCTTCAGCTAATCTGAAACTCTAATCTGACAAATCACATACTTTTATCAGTTAAGGAACCCTTTCTTCTAATGATGCATTATCTGAATTATGTAACAGTCCCTCCTGTGAGTTGTTAAACACAAAATTAAAATGTTCCTTTCCAGAAAACCATTTAGAACATTGGGTTGCCTTTTTTAAAAATTTTATATATTGGTTTTTAATGTCACTGTCATTTTATTGTTTTAACTTTGTTTTGTTTTCATTCTCTTAAATCACTGCAAGAGCTTGTGTACCAGCCATGTCACTTAAACAAATCTACATACACATATGCATACATGCCATACGCAAATAAGCAAAATCAGCCTGGGTTTAAACAGCTTCTTTTAAGATTTCGGGGGGGGGGGGAACGGGATGTCTTGCTAGAGTTTGGAAGTGCTCCCCTTTCTGGACTACATGAAACCCCTAGCTGGCACAGTCAGTCGCCATAGTAACTGGAGGATTCTGGGATTTGGAATCTAGAAGGTAATTTTTCCAAGTCCTGCTAATGTCCTATAAAAAATAACAATCAACATCTATATGCTTGTAGTATGGAGTATTTAGTGAATATGGTCCTGTCCTATGTGGTTACAAGGATGCCCTCGATTAAGACAGCAAATGGAAACACAAACACAATGCTCCATGGACCACATTCAAGTTCAGTGCAGTTTGTTAAAATTATGCTTAACTTCTATTTCATTAGTTCTCCCTAAAGTTATAGAGACATCACTTAAATAATAACATGTTTCACCTCTACATTCAATGGCCATTCAACCACCACAATCAACATCCCCAGAATATGTTAAGGCTGCCCCAAGTAAATGGAAAATCTCTGACTCATGCACAGCATGCCCACCTGAGATTTCAGCATGCCCAGACATTGGAAATTGTCTGTATTGATTACAGATACATAAGCAGCATTTCTGGAGGTAACATACATTATTCATGATTTTTAAAGTTTCAGAAGGGGGAAGATATATCCGCCTCACCTTGTTAACAAACAGCAGGCTTGTGCTACTTCAGTAAAGGCAAGAACCGGATATAAACTGTGGCATGATGGCAAATTTAATGAACGTTATTCTCCATTAGCATTAACATGGACTGTGTACTCAGCCACTCAGTTACACCAACAAACCGTAACTTTTCTGCATTAAATTTATATTTGTTAAAAATATGCAAAGGTATAGTGCTTAACTGAACCGAGTCTATCGTTTCTGGAGGGGGGGGATATATTATAATCTTGCATTGTTTATCCTTGTTTTTAGACACTAATTTAAACACTACTGGAGCTGCTACTGGTTATTTACTTCATCCACTAAAAGAACTCCACACAATATCCAGTGCATAGATACACTGAAGTTAGAGAGCTTTTTACCATAAAATCTTGAATCTCCTTAAAAGACTCTCCCCCGCCCCATTTGTTATGTTCCCATTGCCCTTTGATAGTGCACCATATTTAATCTGAGTCAGGGCTTCCATGAAGAAACTAATTTAAATGTCAGTGCTTTGTTCTTGAATGGCTGACAATGAATGGCCCACAGAATGCCTTTTCCTCAACCCTGAGTACCTCACGATCAGTCCACATGCATCCAGATGGTCAGGTAGGGGTTCAAATTTTGTAAATTCCTTTTCTAAATGGCCTGATCCAAAGCTTTAGGAAGCTAATTATATAACAGATTTTACACTTCTGTACTTGTGATTACATTTTATCAGTTCAAATGTATTTAAATGCATTTAATTGAGAGAACTGTGAAAGAATATTAAATCTTTATGAAAATACATATTTGGATATATGAGATTGAAAACAACACAAAAGTGCAAATTGACATGGAAACAGAACAAA